GGGGGGGGGGGGGGGGAGAGGTCCGCAGCCCCCAGACACTGCCTCCTTCCTTCCAAGCACAGGACGAGGGGATCCTGCCCTCGGGCAGACGGGGCACGACGAGAGGTAAGGGAAGCCCACCCCAGCTGGGTGGGTGGGCAGGGAGGGAGACAAGGGCCCCTCCTCGTGGCCACAGGCCGTGGGACCCCCACCCTCAGCCTTAGAGTTGTTGAGATGGAATCCCTTCCTCTATCTCCTATTTATCAGCATTTACCTAACACCCAGTGATTACCTGGTCCTGTGGCCTTCAGCCTAGTAAAAGCATCTGACCCCCGCAAATGTCCAAAGTGGAACATAATCCTCAGGAATGAACATACTCACCCCAGTTAGCATGTATGAGCACCTACTGCATGCTCACCCTGTGCCAAGAGCTTTACCCACAGGACACCCCTTGGAACAAACAGATATTCTTACTTCTCAAAGGGGAAAACCAAGGCCCTGAGAGGGGTCAGTACCCTACCCAAGGTCCCCAAGCTGAAAGTGGCAGGACCAGGACCTGAAGTGGGGCTTCCTCAATTGCTCTGTGGTACTGGCCCCTCCTAGGCTCCCTGCTTAGCTTGGCTTCCCCTCTGCCTGCAGGTCCTGCCAGATAAGCTCTAGGGACTGGGGCCACCCTCCCTGCTGCGTGGAGACACGGGGGCCGCACCCAGACTGGGGGCTAACTCTGTACCCTCACCTCAGGGCACCCAAGCACCCTCGGCAGGAGCTGGGGTGGGTATTCTGAGGGTAACAACATCTTTGGCCTCCACGTGAGGCCACTCTTGGGTGCAACTCCAGTGGGGGTGTGTGTGAGGGTTGGCTAAGCTGCCCAGAACCCCTGCCAGGGCTGGGGATGAAGAGGGGTCATTGCTCCCCCCCGCCCTATCCAGGACCCCTACAAAGAGTCTTTTTAAATAAACAAGCTATTTAGGTGCCCTGATTGTGAAGATATTTGGGGCTGGATTGGCCCAGGGTAGGGGCTGTGGGGCTTAGGGAAAGCCTGAGGAATCCTAATGACCCTATGGGATTGGAATCTTTGCATCCCAGAATTTCAGACTCTCCAGGAGGTGAACTATCTGGGTTTAAACTCAGTGCAGGGTGTGATTCAAAAGGCCAGGTCTACTGGGAGCGGCGGCGGGGGAGGGGGGGTCTTGCACCTGCCATCCCTGGCCTTGTGGGGCCTCCTCCCCAGGGACACCCATCCCAGCACCCCAGGACACAGAGACAGTGAAGCAGCTGCAAATGAAGGGTCCTTTATTGTGGGAGTCACAGCAAACTCAAGGGCAGTCAGCAACCTGGTGGAGCGTGCCCCAGCCAGCTAACAGTCCAGGGGTGGGCTGGGTGCCATTCACGCCATTTCCTGTGTCCCTCGGCGTGTCCCTGGGGAGCCACCATCACTCAGCAGATTCTGCATCAAACCTAAGGTCCTGAAGAACCTCGCTGATTGCTTCCATGGTTTTAATTACCCTACAAGAGCGGATCGGGACTATAAATAAAACCCAGATGGGGAGAATTAGCCGCCACTGCGCAGCTCCTAGGGGGCTGTGGCAAGCCCCGGGCCCTCCTGCCTACTGCCAAAGTTCCAGTGGCCAAGAGGACCATTTGGATGCCAGGGAAAGAGGGGTGGTCTGTGGGTGAGGGTGGGCAGAGAGAAAAAGCCACCTTGGGTGGGTGCCATCCGAAGACTGTGCTGTGTCACAGAGCAGAGAGCCAGTGGGAGTGCACTCGTGTGTGCTGGAGGGGGGCCGGAGGCAGGAATGTGCAGGCCTGTGTCTGGTGGGCCTGGCAACCACGTCCAAGCTCAAAGTCCAGCCATGTGAGCGGGATTGGCATGTGTGAGGTGCCCAACTGTGTCCCGGAAATGCACGGCGAGTCTTGTGTGAACTTGCAAGGCGCGTGCACTTGGGGGCAATGTGTGCTGTATGTCTGGGAGCCACCAGGTCAGGACTCCAGTGTGCATACCCTGAGGGTTGTGTGCAGGTCCAGAGGGTCAACCCACTATGACCGTGCCCGCGTGCCAGCCCTGGGGCACAGCTGGCTAGGGATAGGTGCCTGAAGGTGCACGTGCAAATCTACCACCACCAGCCCCCTGGGAAGGAATGCTCACTTCATCTTCAGCTGGTGCATCTCCAGAGTGTTCTCCTGCCCAGACAGCTCTGGTGCCCCCATCAGCTGCAGCAGGGCCACCTGGTAAGGGCAACAGGGAGGCCATCACAGCCGGCAGAGGCCCTCCCCTGCCCTCCCACACAGATCAGGGAGGGAGACGCCGAAGCACCCAGAAAGGCAGCGATGACCCAGGGTCTCAAGGGGTGGTGCTTCGCACAGGAGGAGTCTGGAATTCAGTTTAAAGGGGCTCCTGGGGAGGACCGGGTGGGCAGGCCCCAGAGTGAGTGGGTGGTGCCACGTGGGTGTGGTCGCAGGAAGGCATGGTAGAGGAAGAGTGGAGAAGGCTCAGCCAGGAATTGGTGACAGGGTTGGAGCAGGCAGGGCCTCATAGTCTCAAGGATGTGGCAGGGCGTTATAATCCCAGGGTGGAAGTAAGCCAAACACCTAGACTGGGATTGGGGTCTCCTAAAGCAGCGTGGCCTGGAAATCCCAGTTTGGAGGGTGATGTAGGCGTGGCTTCAGGTGGGCTGGGTCTGGGAGTATGGTGTGTCGGCCAAGATTGGCTGTAGGGGCAGAGTAGGCGGGGCCTTAGAACCCTAGAGGAGGAGCAGGCCCAGAACCTAGGCTGGGATATAGGGTTACTACTCAAGAGGGGGCGTGCCGTGTAAATTCACACTCCAAACTGCAGGGGGCTGAGGGCCAGACCTGAGGCAATGGGAACAGCCAAAGGGGTAGGAGCGGAGTTGGGGGCGGGCCCTGGGCATCCCGGCAGAGCGCTGGGGCTGCGGGAGGGGCTGAGATGAAGTGGGTCTGTCCTGGGGCTAAACAAAACCTGAACGACCCGGAGAAGGACTGGAGGGGTCAGAGCCAGAGAATCCCGAGTGAAACCTTAGTGGAGTTTTGAGGTGGGAAAGGAAGAAGTGGGGTCTGGGGCGCCGGGGGTGGGGTTGCGGAGGGGGCCGGATTCTGGCCCCTCCCCCATGAGGCTCACAACGGGCCGTGACAGACCAGGCGCTGTGTAGGGGACAGCGGCTGGGGGTGGAGCCTCACCGTGGCCAGGCGAGTCTGCTCCAGCTGTTGCAGGCTGCGCACGTGGCTCGCGAGCAGCGGCTGCCCTCTGGGCCCGGCCAGCTCGGCCTCCACCGCTAGCACTTCTCGCGAGGCGGCCGCGAAGGCCTGGGTCACCTCGTGCACCGTGCTCCGGTAGCGCGGGAAGTCGTAGGGCGGGCCGCTTCGCAGGTACTGGAGGTGGCCTCTGCGGCAGGTGAGGGTCCTGAGGCTACGCCCTCAGGTTCTCGGGCCCTGCACCCGCACTGACCACCTGAAAGCCCCCAGGAAGTGTCCCTGGACCCCAGAGTGTGGAGGACGCTCTCTGACTCCCGCAGGGTAACCGGAGATGGGCCCACTCCTGCGCTTGGGGAAGGGCGAGACGGCACGTGCAGTGGTCCATCCGGCAGTGGGGCCGCGCCCTGGGTCCCAGAGGGGAAAAGGAAAGATCTGGTCCCCCAGCGAATCCCGCCCCACCTCTGACAACGCAGCCGCACGGGGATCCAGCTCCGCCCCCAGGCACACCCATCCCCGGAGCTGGCAGGGGCTGCACTCAGCGACCCCTACCCACCCCTGCGCCCGCACTTACTCCTCCAGCCGGCGGAAGGCCTGCGCGCGCTCAGCCTGCAACTGGTGGATGCGCTGCACCAGCGCCGGGATCGGGGCATCTTTCTACGGAGCGGGGGTCATGGCTGGGGCATGAAGCCGGCGCCCCCAAGCCTGCACCGCCCACCCCGCGCCTGTTCCTGCTCGAGCCCGGGCTCACCCAGGGCCACGCCGGCTCCTCGCGCTCCGCGACACCGGTAGCCACCGCAGTACCGGGCACCGAGGGGACGGCGGAGTCCGCCGCGGCCTCGGCAGTGATCATGACTGCGCAGCCCCGGCCCCGCCCAGGACTACGGTGCTCCGCTGCGCCAGGCGCCCCCTGCAGGCCCGGAGGTTTTCCGACCTCAGCCTGTGGCCAGCTAAAACGGAAACCTGAAGATCCGGAGCAAAGACGGGAGTCTTAGGCCTGACCTGCTCCACCCAACCGTTTGTTCCCGTCGAGCGCGAGCACTTGCTTTCTATCGTGTTTGTCCTCGAATGTAAGGCTTCGTATACAGCAAGGCCGACCCTCGGTTTGTATACATTTATCCCAACATTGACTTCATTTCAACCTCACATCCTGTCCCCATTCCAATAAAGAAAATAGAACCCGAGAGATTATATTTTGTCGTCCAAGGTAACATGGCTGTGACACGAGGATTTGAACAGAGCTTCAATACCGGAGAGCCCAAAAGGCTGGAATCTAGCTGTTTTAACAAACGTGGCAGGTACTACATGCACTCCTCAGAAAAGACCTGAAGAGGGCCTGTGCAAAGGCCCTCAGTGTCTGGGGTAGGCACAAGGCCAATAGGGCCTCATTTTAAGTGCAAGGCAGGCCTGGGAGCTTTCTGCTGGGGAATACACTATGTAGTTGAAGCTTTGGGAAGCTTCTTTCTCCAGGGATAAACGTGGGAAAGACCAGAAAGATGTTGGTAGCCTAGCCCTAGGGAGCAGGGGGGAGTTGACAGGGAGGAGACCCATGGAAAATCAGACACTAGCCTTTAGCTGGCACCCCAGGTCTCAGCAGTACTATAGGAACACTGTCCTGGCCTGTCATCTGACACCAAGTCCAAATCACCCCGAGACAAAAGGATGGCCTTACCAGGGCCAGTCCAGGGCACTACAAAGCTCACCTGATTCTCAAGAGCATCAGCACAAGTTTTATAAACACCAAGGCTCACCCACTCCTCCAAGATTTGAGGTCATAGGTCTCAGGTGGGGCCCAGGTGCTCCTCATGTTCAGCAGAGGACAGAGGTTTTACACTAGGTAGGGTGTTTGTCTCCCCACTCACACCTCGACACCTTCAGGGCATGAAAGTCATCAAAGTGCCTAAGGAGGGCCCAGCCAGTGACATAGCTGATCTGCAGGCCTACAAGAGCCTGGGCTGGGGTGGGGGTTCTTTATTCCCATTTATAGTTGACAAAATCCAGATGTGCAGGTTCACTAGGCTATGGAGCAGAGGGCCGAGACCACAGCACATTTTATAGATGAGATGACCAGAACTCAAAGGACACAGGACGCTCAAGGGCTAGGCAGACTCAAGTGAGAGGGAGTCCCTAAGGGAGAGGCCCACAACTCAACCAGCTCCTCGTTGGACAGACCAGCCACGCGGACACCAGTTACTGCTCCAGTCAATGAAAGGGAAACTTTATTGAGGCCCCAGGCCCTTGGGGCTCGGGCAGGAGGCTGCCCTGTGGGCAAAGAAGAGCCAGTGGAGGGGCCTTATTTGACCTTCTTTTTGGGGCGCAGGTTGTTGGTGTGGCCGCACTTCTTCTTGCGGCAGTTGACAGCACGCGGGTGCAGGCGAGCGTAACACCTGCACAAAGACGAGAGAGACCGGTGAGGGCACACCCCAACCCCGAGCCCTCCCCACCAGGACTGCCACCCAGCCCTCTGAGAGTACACACTTGCGGCAGATCATCTTGTCACAGTTGTATTTCTGGGCCAGCTGGCGGAGGGAAGGCTCGATGATGCCACCCCGGAGGCGAAGCACCAAGTGCAGGGTGGACTCTACAAGAGGGTTAAAGACAGTGACTGAGCCTAGCCCCAGCACCTCAGGTGCAGAGTAGGGTCCTCCAGACCAGAGCTTCTCAAATGTGATGGGTATTCTACACATAGATGGCCACACCAGCTCAGACCACCCCACAGAACCTCCATCTCACTTCCCACTAGCCCTTGGGGAGTCTGAGGCTAATATATGCCAACTATAGGGTGCATCACCGTTTCCTGACAGACAAGGCAATTTCTAAGTGGTGCAAAGGTGATTTTTCCCCTTGCTGAGCAAAACAATTAAATCTAGTTGCTACAAAAAGTGACATCAAGGGGGTGCCTGGCTGGCTTAGTCAGTAGAGCATATGACTCCCGATAATAAAATTTTTTATTTTCATTTACTTATTTTTAGATTTCATTTGTCAGAGAAAGAGCGAGCACAAGCAGGGGGAGCAGCAGGCAGAGGGAGAAGCAGATTTCCCACCAAGCAAGGAGCCTGATGCAGGGCTCGATTCCAACCCTGAGATCATGACCTGAGCCAAAGGCAGATGCTTAACTGACTGAGCCACCCAGGAGTTCCCAAAATCTTTCTTTTTAAAAATTCTTATTTATTTGGGGCGCTTGGGTGGCTCAGTCGTTAAGCGTCTGCCTTCAGCTCAGGTCATGATCCCAGGGTCCTGGGATCGAGCCCCGCATCAGACTTCTTGCTCAGTGGGGAGCCTGCTTCTCCCTCTGCCCCTCCCCCTGCCTGTGTTCTCTCTGTCTCTGTCAAATAAGTAAATAAAATCTTTAAAAAATTTTTTTCTATTTATTTTAGAGAGATAGAGCACGAGCAGGGGATAAAGGGCAGAGAGAATCCCAAGCAGATTCCCCGCTGAGCCAGATCTGGGGCTGGATCCTAGGACCCTGAGCTCATGACCCCAGCTGAAATCAAGAGTCGGTCACTTAATCTACTGAGCCACCCAGGTGCCCCAAAATAAACTCTTTGGGGGGAAAAAATGTGGCACCAATTTTCTTTACAGTAGTGACACAATTTCTCTCATCACTTTTTTTTTTTTTTAAAGATTTTATTTTATCATTTTAAAGATTTTATTTGTCAGAGAGAGATGAGAGAGAGTGCACAAGCAGGGGGAATGGCAGGCAGAGGGAGAAGCAGGTTCCCAACTGAGAAAAGAGTCTGATGTGGGACTCAATCCCAGGACCCTGGGATCATGACCTAAGCTGAAAGCAGATGCTTAACTGACTGAGCCACCCAGGCATCCCTAAGATTTTATTTTTAAGTAATGTCTCGACCCGACAAGGGGCTTGAACTCACAACCCTGAGATCACAAGTCCCATGCTTTACTGAATGAGCCAGCCAGATACCCTGTTTTAGCGCATTTTTAAACAAAATAGTCTTAAAAGGGGCACCTGGGTGGCTCAGTTGTTTAGCGTCTGCCTTCGGCTCAGGTCACGATCCCAGGGTCCTGGGATTGAGCCCCGCATCGGGCTCCCTGCTCTGCTGGAAGCCTCCTTCTCCCTCTCCCACCTCCCCTGCTTGTGTTCCCTCTCTCGCTGTTTCTCTGTCAAGATAAATAAAATCTTAAAAAAAAAAAAAAGGTAAGCAAGTAAGAACATGAGAAACCACTGCCACTTGGAAACCTAAGTTGAGACCGTAAGATCCTTCCCCCCAATAAAAACATTACTTCATAAAAGTAAAACTCATCAGCCCCATCTGATCCTCACCTTAAGACAACCCCACCCCCCACTGCCAATGAGGCCATCAAAGCTTGATCCTTGGTCCTAGACCTCATGGGGCCCTGTCCAGCCACCCTACCCGCAGTACCTTTCTGGATATTATAGTCTGACAGAGTACGGCCATCTTCCAGCTGTTTGCCCGCAAAAATCAGACGCTGCTGGTCAGGCGGGATGCCTGGAGAGAAGAAAGCTCAGTTACTGAGGCTCTGGCAAGCATATTATTGGCAGCTTCTTCTCTCCCCACAAGGATGCTCTGGCATTACCCCCAATCTGTCAAAAGGGAAACTAAGGTAGAGAGAACAAGCTGCTTTCCCAAAATCACACAAGGAAGTACCAGCCAAGGCTGAGGTCTATACAAGCCCAGCACCCATCCTGCACGTGACAGTGGCTCCTCTGGGCTGGGGACTCCTGCGGGATAGCCTCTGGACTCAGCCCAACTCACCCTCCTTGTCTTGGATTTTGGCTTTGACATTCTCAATAGTGTCACTGGGCTCGACCTCGAGGGTGATGGTCTTGCCCGTCAGGGTCTTCACAAAGATCTGCATCTCTGCGTCTGCTGGAAAGTAGGGAGTAGGAATGGAAGGGTGAGAACTGCTGTCTGAGCAGCTTGAGCTCAGGGGCTGGCAAGCCTTGGCCCTGCCAGCCCTGTGCCAGCATCAACCACAACTACAGGCCCATCCCAGTGTCTGTTTCCTTCCACCCCTCTAAGCCTGCAGCCCAGACTTGTCCTATAATCAAGGATCATGCTTCCTCCACCTTACCCGGGGGGCCCCTGTGGCAAAGTGTGCTTCACGGGAACAAGGACTGTGGTTATGCTCCTTGGGCCCAGCAAATGAGATTAACTTTGATGATGGAATGAGAAGTACACGGCTGGGGCATTATTTTGCCAGACACATTTTCTCTAGATCCCATTCTCCCTCCCCTACCCCTCTGTAAGCCACATTTGCTCCACAAGCAACCCTTCCTGCAACCTGAGTGGGAATCCCATTTTAGTAACCACCCCTCCAACACACTTTCCTCCCTTGCAGTTATCTCCAACTCCAAGCTCAGACACCCAACACCCTGGCTTCCTTCCCAGTTTATACCCAAACTCGCCAGACCACGCTTCCTGCCTTTGCTCCAACCCATAAACAGTATCTGCCAACCACGTGCCAGATACTTGTTTACACATAATTCCACCGTCCCCCCCCTCCAAAAAGACCCCTAGAAGGTGGCTGCTACCACTCTCTCCTTACGGATATATTAAAGAAACCAAGTAAAAAATAACCTTGTAGGGAGAGAAGAACTTAATTCTAAGACGACTGGTGCACTACATGGCACGGAAAAAAGCTATACGCTTCATACCCCTCCTCCATTAAGGGGTTTGCCCAGGAAGACCATCCACGCCCCCAGACCTCGTGGGATAGCTTGGGCTGGCAGGGCACACAAGACCCTCTCCCAAAGTCCGGTTCGCATCCCGGGACCCAGTCCGGGCTCGGAAACCCGGCCCCACGCGCCCAACTCAGCCGACCCGGCCGCCCTGCGGAACCTGGCCCGCACGGACCGATTTCGGACCGCCTCCTCCACT